TGATCCAGAGATATGCTTAAATGACAGTTGAAAGCCTTTGCAATGCAGGCATGTCTGGCTCTGATTTTGTAACCAACAGAAAACGATCCAGAACACTGATTAACAGGCCCATATGCTGTTGTAGAAAAAATATAAACACACTAAGGGTCAATCAGTACAGAAAAGTGGACACACCTCATGATCTAGGAGCCTATAAACAGGCAGATATTTCATTTCAATGGCGAACTGTTATATAGAAATTGAGTAAGGTATTAAACCATAAACATGCTGTTTCTCTACATCTCTACTGAAAGTGTAAGGAACTTCTGAGAAAGTATCTGTAGAATTTGAGACTAAGGGATTATTACAGAAATAGAAAATACATAAACACTCCTGATGTGCCCATTAGGGCCTACTGCTTCTGACAGGCACTGAGTACTACCCATGGGATTATCAGGAGCTGGCAGATGATGGCAGGGGCAAGAACATTCAAAACACCCCAGCATGTCCACTTACTAGGCCAACAGTCATCTGGTTTGGTCAAGCACAAAGAGCACACTCACTCTCCAAATTCACATTGCCTTAGGGAAAACTCTTTTTCCTCTTCTTTTTCAAGGAAGAAGCACAGTAAAATACATAGAAGATCTGGAATAAGGCCTGATGTTGTTCCAATCAATTCCTCTACTTCTTATTTTGTTTCAATGATGGAGAGTAGAAAGAATGTAGATGATTTAAAAATTTTAAAATGTAACCTGGTATTCATTCATGCTATGCAAATTTGTACAACTGAGATAAATCCTGGTTCTATTGATTTTAATATATGCTACTAGGAATTCATTTATAAAGTACAAAATCATTTCCATAGAATAAAGAATTTACTTCCCAATTGCTTTCTCTGATTATGGCTGATTCTCATAGAGCAACTTTGTTTATGTAGACATTCACAGATAAACAGAATAAACTAGAGTTGATTCTGGGAGGGCAGCAAAGAATGTGAAAGAGAATGAGAGAAGCCAAACATCTCCACAGATGAGCTAGTTCCTGTGGTATACGTTGAGACACAAGGGATTTATTCACATGTGTCTGTGGGATACCTTCTCCCGCCCAACAAGAAAAATTGCTCTTTCTCCCACTGTAGATAACTAACTCTGCCAGATCTAAGCTTGTCCCTCTCATTTCAACTCTCCCTCAGTTACCTGCATGCCTGCAGCTGCCTCTCTCAGCCAAGATGGGGAAGATGGCCCAGAGCTGATGTGGATCTCAGCCAAGGTGTGTAGGTGTGCCAGAAACCCTGGCAGCCTTGGGGTGGAGAGATGAAAAACCTGCCCTGGCTTCCTCTTCACGAACACGTCTACTCAAGCTGGCCAACTGGTACAGATTCTCCAGAGAGCATGAGAACAAGCAGGGTAGTGGATGGCATAAAGAAAAACAGTGGCCCTGAAAAAGCATACCTGCACATACCATGAGTGCTAGTAAAATAAGCCCTACCTTCCCAGGGAAGTGGGCAGAGGTCAGTGGACAAGGGGAGTTGAAGCAACACCAGACTGAAGGCTGATGTGCTTTTAAAAATCACCATTTAATAAAAATCATTGTTTATCACGTGGAAAAAAGGCTTCCCTTACAACCTTTAAAATACAGATAACTTCATGTTCTTTCATTCTGTTTCTTAGATTGTGTGTGTGTACTTCTGATGAAGGAAAGGGGAGTGCTTTGGGAACAGGAAGCCCTCACTAAGTGAAGTTTAAAAATGGCTTAAGAAATCAGGCTCCCAGAACTGAGCTGCGTTTGTGACCAGACACGGCAAAATACCTTGGATCTTATGCTTCAGTATACAGATGAAAGCAATGAAATGAATGGGTATTTAAATAAAATACTACCACTACAAAACCTGGCCAGCCAACACTTGTTCAGATAAAATACTTGGCCATACAAGGATGCTTTAGTATCTACAATGCATCGTTGGCCACATAAGGATGCTTTAATATCTGCAATGTACCATACTGGTTATTCAATACTGCTTTATGTATGTGCTTGTTTTCAGTAAAGTTGTGTTATGGTTAGGGGAAGTATCTTGCCTCATCCTTACAGCCCACCTCTCACTCCCCAGAAAACTTTTTGACATGTTACTTCCTGATGATGGATTTAATCATTGAGAGGTGAATGGATTGTTGAGGGCCCTGTCCTATCAATGTATGATAGCATTACAGGGAGGGGACAGAAGTAGGTAGGGCCCAGTTGGAGGAAGTAGGTAGAGGGAGGGGCACACGGTAGAAACAGAACCTTGTCTCTGGCCTTTCTCTCTGCTTTCTGTCCATCATATTATGACAAGACTTTGCCATGTACTTCTGTTGCCAAGATATTCTGCCTTGACTCTACCTAAAGCCACTGCTTTAATCAATCTTAGACTGAAACCTCTGAAACAATTTTTCCTCTTTAAACTGTTTCTTCCAGGTATTTGTCACTGTGACAAAAAGTCTAACACAAGCTGGGACTCACATGAAAAAATCCTTTTGAAATACATGTGTATACTATACACAGTACACCCAAGGGAAAAATCAGATCTTGTTTAGAACTTATTTTGTAAGACATGCTTTTTACCTCATATGCTATTTCTTCTTAACATGCGTAATAGTTATTAAAGTGTTTATTTGACCCTGGGTAGGTAAGAGTGTATTATAGATTTTTAGACCTTTGCTTAGTTTCACCAGCATGTACCATACCAACTTTGAGACAGACCATCAAGAGTAACCTTTCAGATGCTTATAGGGCCCTGGAGAGACTTAAGAGAAAGAAAGGGGCAGAAAACAATAATGAAAAACTCCCAACAACTATGAGAGGTCCTGAAGCCATTCAGCAATTTGCCTCTGATACAACATGGTCACCAGATGTGTCAAAATACTTTCGAACAGTGTAATTAAACAGCCACACACTCTCCTTGCCTTCTTGAATTCAGGCCAATAGACCAGGTTTTTTTTTCCCCTCTTCTTTTTTGAAATGGGTAAAACCTTTGTTAGTTGCCAAATAAAAGGCTAATACAAAATTATACTCTCATTTGTTGCAATGAAATCATTTTAAGTACCTTGGTGTGCATTGTTCCACTGATATAATATTGTACAAGGTTACTGGGTGTCCCTCAAATATTTTCACCATCATCAGTAAAATGTACAGAACTTTCGAGTCAAATGACAAAAAGAAGTGACATGTGATTGGAAGGAAGGCATGGAAAATACTATTTCCAAATGCACCAGCTCTCATTAGTCTCTGTAATCTTAATCTGAAGTGATCCTTCCAAGTCCTTAATTATTTGAACAACTGCTGATAACTTTCCCATTCCCAAGACAATTTGCAATGATTATTCTCAGGTTTTTAGATGCCCCGCAGATCTTCAGCAACAATAGATTTTGGTTATGATCTATCTTATAACCTCACAATGGTGTATTTTCATAATACGATTTAGAGTAAATAATGTGAGATAGAGCTATGAAAAAATACTTGCTTACATATAAAAACCATAGGAAGAAAAGTAAGTTGCAGAGTTTGGTAAGGCAAAAGGTAAACTTGAGCTTTTACTGGGAGTTAAAAGATAAAGAGTTTGGAGATCCCCTAAGATGTCTGGACCAATGTGCATGTCATCTTTGTTCAGAGCAATGACTTCTACTTTTAGATTTGTGACATCTCTAGGAGTCTCCAGGTATCTCCTAAAGTGTTATAAAATCCTTCTGTCGCACAAAATGCCACATAAAATAATGTTTAAATTCATTTAAGACAATATGCCATGCATTTTAAGATAAGGAAAGGTGACCTGGAATCCAAAGAATAGTCTTAAGGATTTTAAAAGCATGATCCTTGTCAACTGTATTTCAATCTAACCCAACTTAAGGTATAGTATACTTAGGAAATTAAAGTAAGATGAGATGGTCTGTGTGCAGTTTTATGGCTGGGGAAGAAAGGGAAGAGAGTGGTTTACTTAGAACACTATTTTAATAGAAATCATGATTTTATCTAATAATGATTAAATCAGCACTAAATTAAATCAGCAGCTAGAAACCTCTCCAACTACGTCTGCTAAGACAATGGTGCACTGAAGTTGGTGTCAAGCATCTCTGTACATTATCAGCTTCTTTGATACTGACAAACATGGACTACAGACACTGGGTGGCAGGCAGGCAAGTATGACTCAATTTTGCCAGTTCTTCCCTTAGCTTCTGATTTAAACTGTTAACCTGCAGCCATGACATTGCATGAGGTGAATATATCATTGTTCCACAACACTCAAGTCTTTAACTTCCTTGGTCAGTAAGAAGTTAATAACTAAAACACCATTATGGGTTTGACACTGGGAAGCAAGGTTCATGGCCATTACATTCACTGTAACTTTTTGTTTTTTAAACTGTGAAAATACCATACAGAGGGGTTACAATTACATGAGCAAGGTAATGAGTATGTTTCTTATCAAGCATTGTTGCCTCTTCCTTTGTTTCCCCTTCCCATCCCTTCCCATCTCCCTCTCCGACCACCTCCGCCCCCTCTGCGGCCTGCTCTCCCTCCACACACCCCCCCCCCCATTCACTATAACTTTTAAAGCCCCAATAAAGTATGTTTCTTGATGGGTCACTGCCTTAAGCTTGACACCTTCCCTTATCCAAATCACCCACTTCAGTTATCTAATAAATCTGAACATAGTTCCTTAAGAGTCACACGCATATGCACTCAAAAGGTATTACTGAAAAAAAGGGACACATTTTTTTCATTAAGTAAGCTTGCCTTTTCTCCCTGGAGAACTCCATTTCAATGTTTACTTTTTACTCTTCATATCACTGCCCACTTAAATTTAGACCCACATTCTAGAACAAATTCCCTACTAAACAATTTTTATTTAATCTTTTACTAGCTCTGTAATTGCTATCCAAGAAGACAAAGTTTTCTCTAAACTAGGCCATTTATAATAGATTTCAAAAGTTGTCTGAAGAACTGAACATCTGCAAGTCATGCGCAGAAAGAAAAAGAAAAAGTAAACTTGCCTTGTTTGTAGCAGTAGCACTGGATCCAGGAACTACGGGTACATTTGTCACTTGAACTGAAAGATAATTATTATCAATGAGTGGCCAGGCACCTTCTACTTTGCATGTTTGGAAGTGATCCTTGAAAGTTCTAAGGTGAGGATCTCCAAACAAGCCACAGAAAAGGAAGTTGGGAGGGATCTGGTCCCCTCCCCTGTGTTCTCTGGCTCCTGTGTGGCTGTGATAATTACAAGGATCATGGGTCACTTCCGGGTTGGTAGAAGATGTGGGTCCATCCTTGGAGCAGTTCCTCTGGCTCATGAGGTCACTGATACCTAACACAGCAGAATGGTATACTAGATTGCCACGGCAGGCTTTTGAAGTTCGCTGGGTGCAGCCAGCATAGGCACGCAGTGCCTTGCAAAACTCAGAGTCAAAGCCGTCAATGGCAGAGTTCAGGTGTGAAGTCAGGGACACAAAGTCTGTGGTACACTTTTGGATTCGGCATTGGGCTGGCTGTTGGCAGTCACCTATGGGAAAGAAGAAAAACCAAACATGTGTAAATGCTTCACAACTTCCTGAGCTACATGAGAAAATGACATTGACATTCTCCTCTGGGAACTGTCTGTTCTAGTTCATATACTCCTATTTTAAGAGTCCTTCAGGAATAGGGTTGTGTTATCCTTACACGTCCCTCAAGTTAAGGCACTGTGAGAGAAGCTGCACGCAGTGGGTTAAGCTTAAAGCTTCAAAACATGGGCCTTCATGCATGAATCTGAGTCAGGTCTACTGTTCCTTGGTTAAAATTACAAGGGATAGTAATATTTTATGAATTTTGCTACACTTATAGAATTCGACAAAGATTCTTTTGCACTAATGCAAAGGTGAAGACATGAACTTTGTTTTGATTTTAAAACTGTAATTTGCTTTGGAAAGCTTTGTAAGAGCAGCACTTTGCAAGAACTATGATTAAAGCCTTTACCTTTGGGGAAGGGGTAAAATCCTAAATTGTAGTATAGATATTTAAAAAAATTTTACTTGACTCATAAGGTTACAGGATCAGAATATTAGGGCGAAAATCTTAGTACTAAGTTATTCTTCCTTCCTTGAGGCATGTTAGCAACAAACATGGTCACAATTTTCTCGTTTCTATAAAAATGTCAATTCTCTGCTTACAAAAAAAAAAATGGATTCATTTGATCAAAACTTGTATTACTTTTCTTCATAAACATCCAGTGCTGTCACCTCAGTATACCAGCTCTCAAGCAGATTACAAGTGCACTACATTAAAAAGTATACAAAATCAATGATGACCTCCATAATTTTTAAAATGCAATTAGAGATCTATAGAGCAGAGAATTAGTAATTATATATCAACTTTACTTCTCCCCTCAAACCCCTCTAGCACAACGCCCTATGCTTTGAAAAAAAAAAAAACCAAAACCAAAAAACCAACCCTTCAAATTAACTTTTTTTTTTGTCAGCAGCCTATCAAATAACAATTTATAAAACACAAGAAAAAGAAATCACAAGAACTGTGAACACTACATTACTCATATCTGCCAATCAGTTTAACAATTCTGTTTCACAAAATTGGAATAAAATTACTGAAAGAGAAATACTTTATCATCAACTGCAGATTTTTACGGGAATGAGCTGTCATATATATTTGTCTTACTAAGTTCTTTTCAGGCTTTTAAACTACAGAAGTTTCTTAATTTCTCAAGTTGGATTAGGCCTCTCCTTTGAGAAATGAGGTGGTACTAAAAGTGACCTCCAAGCATAAAGTGTCTTAGAAAATTTAAGGCCAGTGGATTATGCATTTGCTCATTCGTTGTTTTTCTGCAATGGTCTGCATGAGGCCCAAACTGGCTTTAATTACAGATTCTCCTGCCTCAGCCTCCCAAGAACTAGGATTACAGGCATGGATCACTCCTGGCTAACATTAGTGGTTTATTTTTATTTTTTTGATTTGTCATGGGGCTTGAACTCTGGCCCTGGGTGCTGTCCCTCATCTCTTCAGCTCAAGGAGAGTACTCTACCACCTGAGCCACAGAGCCACTTCTGGTTTTCTGGTGGTTAATTGGAGATAAGAGTTTCAGGGAGGGCTGGGAAGGTGGTTCAGTGGTACAGCGCTTGCCTTGCATGCATGAGGCCCTGAGTTCGATTCCTCAGCACCACATAAGCAAAAGGAAAAAAAGCCAGAAGTGACGCTGTGGCTCAAGTGGTAGAGCGCTAGCCTTGAGCTGAAGAGCTGAGGGATAGTGCCCAGGCCCAGAGTTCAGGCCCCATGACTGGACCCCCCCCCCCTGCAAAAAAAAAAGTCTCAGGGATTTTCCTGCTGGGGGCTTTGAATTGCAATCCTCAGATCTCAACTTCCTGAGTAGCTAGGGTAACAGGCGCAAGCCACTTGCACCAGGCTTAGTGGTTTACTTTTAAATACATAATTGTTTGAATGTGGTTCAAATAGTACAGTACTTGCCTGATGAGGCCTTGAGTTCAATCTTTAGTACCATATATGTGTATGCTTGTATGTGCATATATGTATGTATATGTATTTCAATAAATATCAGAATATTATCAAGATTTTGGACTTCATCTGGAAAAATTTATCAAACATTAATCCTAATATTGTGTTAGAAAGACATTTTAATATTTTTAGTAGCAAACTGCTTTTAAGTTTGAAATAAACAGCCAGCAATCTATTTCTGGCTTTACTTAGAAGAATGGGGGGGGGGCTCAAACTCTGATAACAACTCTATCATTTAAACATTTGAAAGACTAAACAAGAAAAATATTATACCCTAGATTTCACATTCATTTTAACTGCAATATAAGGTAACAGCAAAATTATTACTATCTTTTAATTTTTTTTTGCCGGCCCTGGGGCCTGAACTCTGGGCCTGGGCTAAGACTAGCACTCTACCACTTGAGCCACAGCACCACTTTTGGCTTTTTCTGAGTAGTTTATTGCAGATAAGAGTCTCATGGACTTTCCTGAGCAGGGTTGGCTACGAATTACAATCCTCTAATCTCAGCCTCCTGAGTAGTTAGGATGACAGGCGTGAGCCACTGGCGATTGTTGCAAAATTAATTTTTAATAGTTTTGGACCTAAAAATTTATAGCATTTTACAAAAATCATTTTAGAAAAGTCACAAAACCACTGTCATATATTTGGCCTGTTTTATGCTTGCTTGGTCCAAAACTGATAAAAAAAATAGCTCTAATCTTTACAGGATACCGTTCTCCACAACAGATTATACCATTTTCAGTGAAAAACAAAGCAAAACAACTAACTGAAAAGCAAAAATGAAACAATGTCAAAACCTCCTAAAAGGCAATACAAGCCATTTTACAGATGGGAAAACCAGCAAATGGTGTTAAAGGCCTTGAGCTGGTAGGATTGCACAGCTGCTCTGAGCCAGCATGTGACACCTTTTCTCAAATCTTGTTTACCTTCTACCATAGGCCATGTCTTTATTTAATTGCATAACAACAGTATTCTTGACAGCTGAACAAAGGACTATTACTTAAAAAAAAAATCAGATTCACAGCAAGAAGAAAACAAAAACAGGGCCAAGATCACTCAGTAATGAACTCTTAGACTACAAATGACAGCACACGCAAGAACTTTCCGCTAAACTTGCAGGGCCTATTTGTTCTTTTTATGGTCTATAAAATCTATCCTAGCATACATTTACTTATAATTACTTCAAATAGTCATAAAATACCAAAAGTAAGAATAGCATGGAAATCAGGATGGAATGGTGCAGAAGGTAAAGGGAAACACAATTTGGCTTCTGAGCTCCTTTTCCTCTTTTCTTCCCCACCCTCACTCTCAAGCTTTCCCGTTTGCCTAACAAGTAGGTGCTGATGGCTCTGAGAAATTACACACAAAACAGAACTCTAGTTCTTTTTCGAGAAGCCATTTGAAGCAAGAGATGACTGGAGGGAGGAGGGCTAACCAGAGAGAAAATGCTTCTGGGTCAGCATTTTCAGCTGCATTTCAGGCTCTGGATAATGACTAATTTGTAGCATACACCCAGAAATATCCAGGCTTCATGAATTTATAATGACAATGCACACTTTGCCTGTTACAGGCGGTAAAGTAAGCCGTCTGTCAAAATGCCAAGACAATGCAGAGCAGAAACCATCTCAAGAATGTAGCCAAGAAGGCCATGAAGTATATAAGTAAGCAAGTAACTCCCATACCACATCTCTATTCAGAAACTGCAGAGGTTTGTTTAAAATAAAATTTAAAACATGTATGCATATGTAAATAAGCAAGAGCCATTTCCCAGGGGCAAGATTTGAAAGCTGCACTTACACATTTTTCTGTATGAGGGGAGATCATCCATAGTTGCTGTGACAGTATTTTCAGGCTAGATATTGAAAGTGCTAAAGGATTTGTGGCTCTAGAGCTTTCATTTCATCATTTTTTAATGAGTCACACTTAAAAGGCCTCACCATTCAAGGCAGTTTCCTTAATGCCAGGACTGCATGTGTGAATTTGCAGCACAATTACCAGTTTATAAGAAAAGAAATGAGATATGCTGAAGCTGAATTGAGTGAAATGGCAGGGCCATATGGGGTGCTGAGGCAAATGATATGGATCCAGACATAAAACATATGCTAGTCCATCTGCAACGGGCACTTGCTAGGCTCTCTACTCTGGGAAACAACCCTTGCATCTCAATAGCACCACTCTTTAAAGAGACTTCTCAGAAAGAGCCTTCTTTCTATAACCAGATTAATTGCTTTACTCCAACAAGTTGTCCACAGAAATCAAGACTCACCGACTCTGTGCTAACCTGAATAGTGACTAGTGTCGACACACAAATACTGAGAAAGGCCTCATGTTCCAAATCTAAAAACTAAGCTGCCTTAATTTGGTGATTTTGTGAGCCTTTAAGCAACCAACCTTCTTTAGGCCTTTCATGGGTGGCAAAGAATTTTCAAGAACCACATTCCAGTCTCATCATAGGGCTACGACAATTATGGGAAACAATATCTAAGCAGCCAATGGGGGCTTGCTAGCTCGCAGTCTAACTTAGCTATTTCCATTTCATAAAACTCACTTTTGCATTATGGACACATTCTTTTTTCTTCCACAAAGAACACTTACTAATGTATCCGTTGGTACATTAATAATTTTTCCAGATATTGCATGCAGATTGATACTATTTTCTAAGATTACTAAGCTAAAGCATTCATGTTCTAAAACTTAATAGTTTTTTTTTATTAAGACTTCAGTCCATTTCTCCACATGACAGGGTGAAAACGCAGCGGCAATTTTACATCACAATGCAAAATTACACAAAGCACATGAAGCCCCATCTTTCCATGACACCTTTTCCTGTACTCCTTAAAAGACCTTCCTGATTTTCAGTGAGACTGGTATGACTGAATAAGGAACAATTTCTCTGCACAAGTTGGCTGGCATCACAGTGAAGGACTTTCCCAATCTGGGCCTTGCAACTGCTGTTCTAGACAAACCTGGGTCAAAAAAAAAGGACTGAAGAAAAAAGAAACTCATCTAAGGCTCTGGTTCTCAAACATGGGGGATAATTCCTCCTTCAGTATTGGCACTCGGGAAAAATTCCGTGTCTAGGCAAACGCCTGAAGAAAAAAAAAAAGAAAAAAAGCAGCGCCTATTTGTGAGAGGGCCCACAGGCAGGTTTATTTCCCTAAGAAAACATCTCTGCGAGCAGCGTCTGCAGGCAGGACCGCCGGCCTCCGGAAGGCGGCCGCTGTCACCCCCCTGCACGGAGCCCCCTAAAACACGCGGCCAGTCACGAACCCGGGTTCCACCCCCCCTACCCTCCCCCCAGGGGCCACGCGCTGAATTCAAAGCAGCTTGGACAAAACCTACAACTGAAACTTAAGTAACTTCGCGACGAACCTCGGGGTGTTCAAACTCAGGGGGTTGGGGGGAAGGAATCTCTCCCTCTGGTGCAACTGCTCGGCCTGGCCGCCACCCCCCGACTCCAGGGCGGCCGCCGCACAAGGCTCCTTGTCTCCGCTCCGAGGCGGCGGCGGCGGCGGCGGCGGCGGAAACCCGATCCCCGCCTGACTTTCGGTAAACACCAAGACCGAGGGCAATAAAGCATCCGGAGCGTTTGTCTCGGGGGGCTACAAGCCCCCCGCCAACTCACTACTCGGCTGCGTGCGGAGGGAAGATGAAGCGGGGAGGGAGAGCGCCCCGGGCGCACGGTCGGGCCCCAGCGCCCCGGGTGCCCCGCACGGGGCCGTGGGTCCGGCTTTCTCGAAGGTGCCAGTCGGGGAGAGGGCCCCCCAGACCTTTCCCGCCCGCTGCACGCCACCTGATGGGGCGCCCCGCGGCCCGAACCGGAGGGGAACAAAGCCCGGGCCGCCCCCCTCCCCGCGCGCGCCGTACCTGCGTGGGGCAGCCCGAGGCTCAGCA